ACCTTAGCCCAAGTCATACAATCAGCAACACCATAGCATCAAATACCTCTTAGAGAATGACAATTTGTGGTAGTTATTAATCTATCACCTTTAAAAAATAAAGGGCCTCCTTCAGGGTGTGCCTCTGCTGTCACAATAGACAACGTGGGCAGCAGTGTGCAGTTATAAGTCAATGAGTCTCAGTAAGCTAATCTCAGACCCATGAGATTCAGCCAGATTTCTGGTTGCAAGTCCCAAGTTGAGCTCCCTATCCTCCTGCAGGGTTGCACTCTGCAAGTTTCTACTACAGGTTTCAGCTGCTTTTCCCCTGAAGAAAGTCCAGTTTACAATGGGAGCTGATGATCCCTCCAACTTACCAATCACAGTGGTCTGGTGTGCCTTTATTCCAGAGATTCCCTTCACTTTTCCAGTGGGCTTGTTTTCATCAGGGAGCCTGAGACAGGTGCTCTCTCTGTTTTTCATTTCTGCCACTCAGGACAATGACTTTTATGTCCCCCTGTGCCTCTGCAGTGTGTAACCAAGTAGCTGCACAGCCAAAAGGCCAGAGGCCTTGGGGCGGGGGGGAGGGTGTTGCCGGTTCCCGCGTAGCCAAGCTGGTGGGCCTGCCCGGAGGGGTCCTCCTCACCCTGTCCTGTCCTGGTGGCAAGCTGGTGGAGCAAGCTGTATCAAGCAGGTCCCAGTCAGCCTGCAACCGCTTGGCCCCTCTCGGCCCCTCCCAGCTCCGTTAGGCAGAACTGTCAGCTGGTGGGCCTGCCCCAGGTGGGGGGAGGGGGGCTTCTCTCCCTGTCGGGTCCATATCTTTGATTTGATTCTTTAAGGTGTCTGTAGTTTAAAAAAAAAAAAAAATCTTATTTTAAACAACCCACATCCAGCTAAATTGATCTGCTTATTTCTTGAAAATCTCTTGTCTCTGCTAGGCCCCATGCTTACAGGCTTTATTTTTCCAAACCCACGCTGAGCCCCTCCTGCTATAAGATCTAACCTTCTCCATAGCACATTGCCTAGTGTCCTAGCACTTGGGACTACTGCCTGTGAGTTAATATCTGGTTTATTTGACAGCAAACAGGCTCTATTCTCTATTCTTCTTCCTTTTTTTTTGTATAGAAACATCTTTTATTTGGCTAATATGTCCCAAAACAGGTCAGTTAGTAAAGTAGATTCTAGAGAATATGGCCTATACACAGCCCTCCCTCCACCAAAAATAACCCTGGGGGTGGACATTTCCCTCCCCCTGGACTCATTGGGTATAAAAAATGTTTGGCAGCTCTGTTTATTATCTAGGCATGGAACACCATGTCCATGTCCCTCCCCTATTCCTAGGGTACAGAAGCAGTAGGTGCTCGCAGGTCTCCCGTCAAACCAGCCCAGCCACAATTTTTGCCCCATCCCGAATATGGAACCAAAACAAAGAGCAAGTAGGTCCCCAGCCCTGAGGTGTTGGGCAGGGTCCATATCCTGTATTCTTCTTTATCTTCTTAATCCTGTTCCATCCTTCCCAGATCATAAGATACCTCAGTATAAGAACTATATCTTTATTTGTATGTATTCCCAGTTAATAAATTATACCCTAAACATATTTAAATAAGTGCTTAGTGTACATCCTATTGTTTATAAAGATTTCAAGTATAACAGCCAAGATTTGCATTCGTTGATGTTTCTTGACATTGTTAGGAACTTTTGCAGAATATATAAAATGAAAACTTAAGCAGCATAGTCATTCATCTAGGAAGAAGGTATTTGGCTTAATACTGATTTGGCAAGTCCTGTCGTACTCATGGTTTTTTCCTCTATCAACAGTGGAAAGAACCATGCTAGACTTCCCTCAGCATGTATCCTGTGACAAAGAAGTACGGGCAGCAAGTACAGAAGCAGACAAGAGACTGTCTCATTTTGATATTGAGATGAGCATGAGAGACGATATATTTCAGAGAATTGTTCATTTACAGGTAAATGGTATTATGAATCCCTTTAAGGGGGAGCTATAAACAAAAAGTAAGAACTTGTAAGCTAGAGCAGATATAGCTCAGTGGTAGAATACATGCTTTGCATACATGGGGCCCTGGATACTATCCCCAGTACAAGAGTGACCTTTAACCCAGGATTAAAAGTATTTCAATTTTCCAGTGATTATAATAGTGAATATTGCATAGTACTGTATAATGTTGTATTATATTGATTAGATTTACATTGAGGTGCTAATTTCATTCACTTAAAATTAAAAACCAAGCCAGATCTGGTAGTGCATACCTGTAATCACAGCACTCAGGAGGCTGAGGCTGGAGGGTTCCAGTGAGTACAAGGCCAGCCTGAACTATAGCAAGACGCTGTCTCAAAAAAAAAAGAAAGAGTGCACATCTGTAAATCTGAGGTTATTTGACCATCACAAACAATCATGTTCAACGTTAAAAATCCCTGAATATTGCATGGTTTATATTAGAACAGATCAATTAGAACCAAATAGAATTCAGTTATCTGTAAATGCCTTGTGGATTTGGCTGTAATATTGATGACAGACTTGATAATGTAAGCCAAAGTCATGTTTACTGCTGTCATCCTTACATATTTCAGTACTCACAGAAATTAGGGATAATGTTCGTGAGTTTGTTTTGAATACTTTGATCTTTTTATCAACAATGTTAATTTGCCTCCCAGAATATTCATCATGTCTTTGTTTTAAATTTTAGTTTTCCTGACACCTTAGCAGTTTTTTTTGGAAAAGTGTTCTAATGTGCTAGGCATCTTTTCTTATGCATATTTCTTTCTGCAAAATTGAAAAAAAAATATGGTTTGTTCCTTTTTATAGCAATTTGATGTAAACTGCTTTTTAATTTGCAATTCTTTATAGACCATGCAATCAAGACTTTGTTTAGACATGCAAGATGTACATGTTTTTTATTTTCTTATGTTGGAATGATCATTTTTTACCCTATAATTAATAATCATCAGGCCAGGGATTTAGCTCAGTGGTTCCAGCACCTGCCTTGCAAGTGCAAGGTCCCGAGTTCGATCTCCGGTACCAAAAAAAAAGAATTAAAAAAAATATTTCAGGATTTTATTATAACAAGGTAAGTTCAGAATTGGTTCCATAGTTTTTTCCCTTTCTAATGGAGCTACTAGTTTCATACATGTGGATTATTTTGTGAACTTTGTTAGTCTTCTATAATGCCTGTTAAGGCTATATCAGAATAATATAAATTAACTGTTGTATTTGTTTTTGCACTAAAACTCATTAGGTGAATTTAGTTACTTGTAGCACTTTTGACATATGGTCATGTTTATTTAGGCAATTTTTTTTTTTTGCCAAAATAAGATTTTATTTTGAAAGTCATATGAAAGGTACGATTAAGGAAAGAGACCTAAGACTCAATGGATATAGATTCCAAATTCATATTCTTTCCAACCCCACCAATGGTCTTTGTCATGCCAAAAAGTTGCTTGCTTTGGTAATTCCTATTTTTAGCTTCCTGAAGAAGAGATCTTTTCCCATAAGCCATCTTAATTTTTTTTTGTAGAGGAGAGCTTTATTTCCAGGAAACAGTGTATTCATTGGAGATAGATATTTTTTTAAAAACATCAAGGTAGATTTTGTATGTTCAACAAACTGGGGGGGCTCCGCCAAAGGGGAAGTTGAAAGATTCTCTAGTATGTGCTTATCATCTTGCTGTAACCAGAAATCCACATGTGGAAGTGGTGTCCAGGAATACAGGCCTATTCGAAGTTGTTCAGTCTTTGCATCATAAATGCTAATCATCAGGCCTCCTGCTAGAGCCCGCGCTGCACGCAGCAATTCCTCTGGGCCTCGATCTTTAAAAGAGGCTCTGAAAATCTCTGCAGTTTTAACATTGACAGCAATACCATAAATTATTGGAAAGTGGTTTTCATTTTCTTCCCGGTAATTTAACTCCGTCACACATAATGTCACTAAGTGAATGTCATCTTCTTGTTTATCAAATTCACTAAGAAGCTGATGAGTAAGTTTCTGTGACAAGTGCCTGTTGTCACTGAAGCCTCCCACAACGTGCACTTCCAGCCGTCCACATTGAGCGTGGTTAGAAGAAGACTTTATGGAGTTCAGGATCAAGGGGACTTTGGCTTCGGTATCCGCTCCATCACGGTGTGTCAGGCAGGTAGCCCCATTACCTGCCTCAGGACCACAGTGTGACGAGTGGTGGCATCATCAGAAGCCAGAATGGAGATGGAGCCATCCTTTGGGGAGGTCACTGCAAGGTCTCTTTGCTTAACATACGGAAGGCCCTGGGGTCCCACTTGTTGAACATACTGACCTCTGAGAAGTCTGGCTCTTTCCTCCAGAGACAGGTGCGCTAGAACCAGCTCCCCAGCAGACTGTGGCAGCCGCACTCGCCGCCTGTCCACGAGCAGCGGCATAACAGAGGAGGAAGCGGGACAGGCCCTGGGAGACGGCGGCCGCCCCAGTCTGGCGCCACCACTGCCCCTATTTAGGCAATATTTTTAAAACTTTAGAATTGTAAGTATCACTTTCTGCTGGGGTTGGACACTAATAAATAGTAAAGCCTTTTTGTGTTTATCAGTATGATTACATTCATCATGGGGAGTTGTTACATGTGCATAACATATCTTAATTCCTTTTACATCTCCTTCCCTTCCTCCTCCCCTCCATCCATATCTTGGTCCCCTAATAAATGTTAAATCTTACCCCATTTGTACCTACGTGATAAAGTAGATACAATTCAAATATTCTATTTTTTTTTCCTTTTTAATACTGTAAGTGACATAGGACAATGCAACACTCAAGGCATTTATCAAGCTGGATAAATAAGGTCTTAAATTAATATCAAGTCAGGAGTTTCAGGCATGCTGTACTAAAGTGAGGGTGCTCTGAATAATATTGAGTTCCCAAGTTACCAACAATGTGTAGATACTAATCAAATATAATGTTATCCAAACTGGATATAAAATGTTATTTTATCACTCATGTCATTTCTCACTTAAGATTAATAAATAGAAATGTGAAATTGCATTTCATAGTTCTTTGCACAGATCTGTACCCAATAAAGATTCCTGTTACCCATTAATGCAAAACACATTGTTCCAAAACTTAGTGGCCAGAAACAGCAACAATCGTTTTATTTTCTCTCAGAGTATCTGTGGAGCAGGAATTCAGGAAGGAATCAGTTGGGCAGATATGACTTGGGGTCTCACGTACAGTTTCAGGCATTGGTGGCTGAGTTGAAACAGGCAGAGGCTAGCCAGGCATCTCTCTTTGAGTGGTCTGAAGGAATATTGGTCAGCATGGGCCATCATAACAAAATACCACAGACTAAGTGGCTTAAACAACAGAAATTTAACTTTTCTGTTAAACTTTAGAGACTGGAAGTCTAAAATGAGAGTACTCGCATGATCACCTGATGACAGCTCCCCTCTGGCTTACATACTGCCCCTTTCCACTGAGTACTTAGGTGGTCTTTCCTCAATACAAGCTACTCCCCTTGTTATAAAGCCAAGAATCCTCTCAGATTAGTATCCCACCCTTTTACCTCATTTATCCTAAATTACCACCCCTAAAAAATTTGTCTCCAAATATAGTCACATGAGGTGGGAGTTTAGGGCTTCAACAAATGAATTTTGAGAGGACATAATTCAATCCATTATGTAGGGCATCTTTATGTAATCTGTTTATGTGGGTTAACTGGGGCTTCCTTAGAACATAGTAGCATCAAGGGAGAGGAGTTCTTTGCTGGAGACTTAGGGCTGCAATACAAGTAGAGTGTGTACCTTGCCTTTAATGACCTCAGGAGTCATATAGCACCCTTTCTGTACTGTATTGCATGATGCTGTGGTTTGGATCCTGAATATCCTCCAAGTTCCATGTGCTACAGGCTTGGTTTCCAGCCTATGGGCAATATTGACAGGTGGTGGAACCTTTAGGAATTGAGGCCTAGTAGAAAGAAGTTAAGTCTTTGGCAACATATTCTTGAAGGAGATATAAGAACCCTGTCCCCTTCCTTTCTCTGTTTCCTGGCCATTCTGAGGTTGATAGCTTTGCTCCACCATGTACTCCCCACTACTATACACTGCTTTTTCCACTGGCCTAAAAATCAACAAAGCCAGTTGACCATAGATGGAAACCTTTGAAACCATGAGCCAGAATAAAGCCTTTCTTTCTTATAAATTGATTTTCTCAGATACTTTGTCACAGTGACACAGAGCTAACGTAGATAACTGGTCACTGGAAAGTGCCCAGGTTTAAGGAACACCACTTCTCAGTCTGGGGAGTATCACTGAATTTTCAGTCATGTTTCAAGACCTCCAAAATAAATAATTTGTTGGTTAAATGTATAAGAGAAGCTATACTAGACCCTAAAACTAACCTGTGTGTTAAGGTCTTACCCACTCCGTCCCTCCAATGTGTGGCTAGTAGCAGTCCTTTATATATGTATAGCAATAGGGCCATCTGACTTACCCTTTATACCAATCTTCTGAGGTAGTCTTTCTTATAAGTGGAGAAGCTAAAGCTGATAAATGGTAACCTTCCAAGAGCCACTAAGTGAAGCCAGGTGTGTTGGCACCACCTATTGTCCCACCACTCAGGAAGCTGAGGCAAAAGGATCACCAAGAACTTGAGGTACATACTGAGAACTTGAGCTACATACTGAGTTCAAGGCCAGCCTAGAATACACAATGAGACCTTATCTCAACACCAGAAACAAAAAGTAAGAGCCACATAGTGGTTGGTAAGTGTTTGCCAAACAGCATGTACACTTTATGTTAAACCCCTCAAAGGAGGGCTGTATTATGTTTCAGTGCTTTGAACCTCTAGCAAAAGAACTGGTACAAAGTAAGCATTTATAAAGTATTTGTCTTAGTCACTTTTCTCATCACTTAGAGAAAATACCCTGCACTCACAAGGAGAAAAGGCTTATTTTGTCTCGTGGTTTTTAGAAGTTTAAGTCTGTGATGGAAGGGC